CAAAGCCAATCAGAGCCGCATTATAAGGATAAAAGAGCCGCATGAGGCTCCGCAGCCGCGGGATGCCGACTGATGGTTTAGCGGCTTCAGTGCATCACATAACTAGATTGGTTCCCAACGCCGACGTCCACCAATGACAGCACGAGTGGATCTATCTCACGTGGGGTGGGGGTGGGGGGGGCGGAGAAGATGCACAGCCAATCAACATGGCTTTGCATCTTCTCAGCCCCGTCCAGCACCCTCCCTTCTGTCTTATCACGTGGGTTACTCTTTGCTCTTTGATTTGATCAGCGTCTAAGTGTTGTTGTGTCGACGCATGCTAGCGTGTGCATGAGCGCGCGCGCGCACGCGCGTGTACGTGTGTGTGTGTGTGGGGGGGGGGGGGGGGGGGGGGGGGGGGGGGGGGGGGGGGGGGGGGGGGGGGGGGGGGGGGGGGGGGGGGGGGGGGGGGGGGGGGGGGGGGGGGGGGGGGGGGGGGGGGGGGGGGGGGGGGGGGGGGGGGGGGGGGGGGGGGGGGGGGGGGGGGGGGGGGGGGAGTGCGAGAGAGAGAGAGAGAGAGAGAGAGAGAAGAGGCTTTTAAGAAAAAAGCAGCAGTGTCTCTTCCATCCTTAATTGTCTAATCATTAACACATCGGCTGCACGCCGCGGGATTGCTGGCCTGTATGTGCACATTTGAAATTTCGTCCCTCTCACAATTTTTGGCTTTTTTGAATAAATCCTACTTCACGGATTTCACTTATCACAGGTTTATTTTGGAACATAACGATAACGATAAAGGAGGGATTACTGTATACAGGTCCACATCATTAGCCTCTTATCTCATCAGCCTCGATTACTGACGACCCCTTCTAATTTATTTTATTCTTGTTCTCCTTTCCTTTCTCTGACTTGTCTTTCCTTCCTCTAATGCTGCAGGAATTATCGAATGCAGAGGACATTAACAACCCCTGCTACCCCATTGGTGTGAATGTAACCATTCAGGCCTCAGCCATTTATGACACAAAGTGCACAAAGAAACCCAAGAATTACAGTCAAGATCAACAATACTTCATGGTGGGATCTGGCAACTCAGACCAATGTGGGAGAATAGTAAATTCCATATTTGATTTCACCAATTGTTCCTCGGCTCACTGTTCTTTCAACGGGGTTGAGCAGCCGCCAGTCACTGGGGAATTTATGGTAAGACGCAGAATAAGTCACGCACATACAGACACGTTCATGCATTCCATGTCAAATATCTATGTTTGAGTTATTTCTTCTGTGTTTTCAAGGCATATGCTGGCTATTTCTATGTAGCTAGAGCTTTGTTGATGAATGAATCAACCAAAACCATCAAACCAGCAACGTATGATGAATTCAATACCTCAATCATCGAATTATGTAATGCACCTTGGAGTGAGGTAAGCTCTTTCAACTGCTACTAGACTCGGCGGAGTGCTTTCAAAAAAGGGTCAAATTTAATTTCCGTAATTGACCTGAGAATAGTTCCTTACATTACATTGAAGCTGTACACCGCACACATGTGCTGTGTAAGAAAACAATCTCAATCCAGATTTTAACAACACTGGATAGCAGGACCATCATTTAAAAAAATAAATAAATAAATCTTCACGTGTCATTGAGCAAAAGCAAATTCATAGAAATGCATTGAAGCCTTTTGAGTTACCGAATAACTACCTTTATTTACTGATTTATTTATTTCATTGGGACAATGCACATTAATCAACACAACAATTGGCAATGTAAAGGCGCTGGACTTAACATAAATGCGAGTTTTCAGCCCTAGTCCCAAGGCAGGTCTCTTAACATAAATATAAAAAAAACAGCTTCCATAAAATAACAAAATAATATCATATAACACATAGCATAAAACACTGATACTACCTTGAATGGTAGTATTAACAAAACAGGAATAATCACCCAATTAAAATTAATTGCAACAAGAGCTACGAGCAGCTATAAAGGGCCCTTACTGGCACATTGGAACTGGAATTTTTGGGGAAAATCAATTAAATTAATGGAAAGTAACATATGGAATTGTAAAAACGTTTATTTTGCTATGCCTAATTTTAGTGTTTGTTTTTGTATGTTTTGACCCGATGTGGTTCTCTCTCAGTATTTGGGAAAAATGGTTAGGACTTCACGACTGTCCGTGTTTTGTGTTGTGTTTATTAATTTACTTTATGTTAACTGTTTTGTTAAGCGCTTTGTGACAGCTGGTGCTGTTGTGAAAGCGATATAAATCAGGATGTATTGTATTTCTTCTTTTTTATATATATTTTATTATATAATACATTAGATTTTATTATATAATAAATAAATAAACAAACAAATAAATAAACAGATAAATAAAAGTGTGTTTGTGCATGATGTCGTAGCAGAGAGGCTAATGGCAGAGGTTTCATAATTTATCAACATTATTTCAACCTCATTAGCTGTATATTTACATTTAATGGTTATAAATGGCTGACTTGCTTTTGGGTTTGGGGTATAGCTACAAGAGACTTTTTTGTAGGTTTTGGGCTCTTCCATCTCTCAATTTTCATTGGCCTAGGCCAAATAAAGAACAGGGGCTACTTTGTGAAACAATGTATGTATGTATGAGGGTATACAGTGACATTTATTGCAATTTTGACCAAAAAGAAAAAAAAAACAACTCGAAAATATTGAATTTCTTGCCAGACCTGCTGCGTGTTTTTGTGCATGTTTTGACCAATAAAACCAGCACAATTTTTCCTGGCAAACAGCATGTCACCGCGACAACAGCATTTGATGGGAGTCTTGCTGTCCTTTTCATCTGAAACATCTTCAGATGAAACACCTAAAGTTTCAAGATATCAAGATATTCGGATAAAATCTCAAGGAAGTACTGATGACAATGTGACCTCTATAGAAGGCAAAAAAATTTACGAATTTAAAAAAAAAGTAGAGGATATGGCTCCAAGTAACTTCAAAATGTCTTCTTGTCAGGTTTATCCAATTTGACACTTAGGGATAAAACACAAGGAGGAGACAGGAGACTCAATTCTGGTACCAGGAGGGAACGAGGAGAAGCGTTAGGTTTCAGTTCTCGGCACGTCACCCCTCACGATCTCCCCCTTCACCTCCTCATTTATTGGGAAATCTACAACATAGGTGTGTCCAACCTAGAGGGTGGGGGCTGTTGGACACACACTGAACTTGTTTGACTATGTGTGTGTATGTGAGGAAATCTACTACATAGGTGTGTCCAACCTAAAGGGTGGGGGCTGTTGAAGACACACTGAACTTGTTTGACTATGTGTGTGTATGTGAGTGTAAATTACGTACATGTGTGCAATTGTTACAAAAACATCACGTTGCAGCTGGTGTTGATGGCTCCATTCACTGTCCAACCTTGCTCCTGTTTAGTCTTAACACTTATCTCTTCCCAACCACGTCCTAGGAAAGGTGGTTGCGTCCCTAAACTTCCACATAGTGCACTAAGCATTCTTGATTATGAATGTGAGTATATAAATATGATACAAAGGATTATAAATGTGAGTATATAATGATGAATATATAATGATTAACCCTCATATTATGTTGAAAAAAAATCACGTTGATTATGTTGTGGTGTTATTTTGACCCGTACTATAAAAATCTACACAAAATAGTCAAAAAACAGGTTACACCAGTAACAACTTTGTTTAAGATGATGTAAACATTCAGAAAAGAGACAGAAAACAGATTTTTAATCCCAACAGTATATTTAAGAACGGTTTAGTTGAAGTTTTTCCATGTCACGTTTCTTTTTTTCATTTAACTCTTCTGAGATTTTCAATGTTTTATCTACAAAGTAATTCACTCGCAGTTGGATGTGTGCTGTCAGATTGTCAAGTCCCCCTTTGGTGGAGTTGAAGTCCAGGATCATTTGTGGCTTCATGTCTTCTCTTGTGCTCAGTGATGCATCTATGTGCATTGTGCTCATTACAAGAACATTTTTGTTTTTCTTTGGGCAGTATGAAACAACTGCTGCTTTCTCAGTGAAAACAAAAACTGAGGAATGCAGAGGTCTGCCCTGCATCTTCAGAATTTCACCGGGTCTTATTTCTTCTGACTGTTGTCAATATATTCAGCTTTCTCTCCTGAACTTCATCTCCAAGGCCATACATTGTAAAGACGTTATGACTTTGCAGT